GTGAGCCTGCCCTCCCCTTCGGAGAACACCCGGTCAACTGATAAGCGCCATGGAATTTGGACCTAGACCAAGCTCAGGACATTTGGTCGTAAGTGACAAGCTGGGAATTCATATGTGGCTCAAGCTTCAAGGCATGAGCCGGCATGGACTGCCCACAGAAAGAGAAGAACAAGGCGAACGAGCTGTAAATGTTTCAGGCCAACAGAGTTCCTAGCCCAGCCTTGGCCGAGGTCACATGGCTCCAGACTTTCTGTTGAGGCCTGGGGTTTGCAGCAGAGACTTTGCGAAAGATCAGAGCGCGCGCGTTTTTCGTGCGGGGACCCTCAGGCCAGCAGCTCTTTGATTGACCGGTGATCCCCCGTCCGTCTCACCGGTCTCGTCTCGTGCGCCATGGCGCCCAAGAAGCGGCCGGCGGCGAAAGCCGCGGCCTCGCCGGACGCGAAGCGGCGCTATGTGGTGAGCACGGACTTCCCACCGCCCGACTGCCGCGAAGGTGGCTCCAACGGGTTCGGATCGGGCGGAAGGGGGGCTGAGGTCGGAAGGGGTTTCTGAGAGATGCCTCTAAGGTTGAAGCTTAGAAGGGATTTGGGTTCCCAGGTTTGCTGGGGTTCGAGCCATTTGTGAAGGTGCCTGAGACTCTGAGGGCTTGTTCACATGTCGATTTGCGTGTTTTTGACGCTGCACAATGCACCTGCATGAACATGACTTTCGCATTCCTTTGGCAAGGGAACATGCGCAGCTAGGAGAGCAGATGATGGCGTGGTACCGGAACGGCTTTTGCGCGATTCCCATGAAGAAGGGCGACCCCACTCTGACGCAGCGCCAAAAGAAGCTGCTGCGGATGTCGGCGCAGGAGCAACTGGGGTGATTGTTCTGGGTGAGGGGATGGACTCCATGCAGAGGCATGTAGAAAGAAGGAGGGGCCAAAGTATAGACCCTTGTACGAGTAGCTGCATCTGTTGACTGAATAACGACTCTTTGGGCACAGACTGTTTCCATTCACAAAGAAGCCTTTCTGAATGGGTTGTGGCGGGGAGCTGGGGAAGTAAAGGCGGTTTTTACGTTTGCTCTCATGACGTGCTGCCCATTTTATATTATATATATATATTATACACACTGCAGTCATTGTCATCCTTTGTCAAATCATGGATGCTGGTGACAATACCCACGATGCTTTCTTGAGATGAATCCTGCACCGCGTGTGAATTTGTTGAAGATGGTCCGGCCCAGACTAGTTATACAGTGCAACTCATGGAATCAAAGGTGCGGCAAAGTCATATTTCCGCTAAGCCAAGGTATGTGGCGGAGCGCAAGAAGGGTGACGTCACCTGCGAGGAGTATACTAGCCTGCTGGTGAAAAGAGCGCTCTACTACCGCTACATGTGCCGGACCTAGATGGCACAGTCAGGAAGCCTCATGACATTGTCGTAACCTTGGATGGAGCCTCAACCAGCAAAAGGGAGTTTTGTGGGTCACGTTGCGCTGTTGTTCTTGCTTCATGGAACCAGGGAACTTGCTTGGCTCGTCTGCGCGTCGATGTTTTCGCGACTTCCTTTCCTGCCAGTCCCTTGTTTGGTTCGTCAGCATCAGAAGGCGCCTGCCTGACTCCCGCCGAATTTCGGGGACCCAGACTCTGAGTGAGGAACCAATGGACATTCCGAAGCTACGACCTCTTTTGGAAAGCGGTGGCTTGGAGATGCAGTTGAGTTCCATTCGTTCCTCTTGAACCACTCCAAGGGAGTTGTACGCACCGGACTCACAGTTGACCTCAGATACTTCCTTTTGCCAGGACACGCTGGACAAAGTTCAGCGCATGGTCGAATCCTTGCAACAGACTGGGACATTGGCATGACACGCGCCGTTGAAGTGTCACCTGCAAAGTGCTTGTCCGCTCAACGGCACAGAGGTCAAATTTCACAATGTTCTTTGACAGCCCTCGGAAGACCCCCCTTGCGTGTGGCGCGACAAAAAAGGGCGAAGAACAAGCTGAGGTGCAGCGGGCCAAGGCCCTTGACAAGAAGGCGGATGCGCAACTCTGCCAAGCTGTGTGATCGATGCCTCTCATTGGCCGCTGTCCAGCTTCACGCGTGTTACATGGAAAGATGGTGGCGTGAACATGTTCGGGCAGGGAAAGTCCGGCTAGGCGTTCTGCGAATGTTTGGAGGTTCTTTGGTTCTTCTTCCTTGTCTTCCTATCTCTATATCCATCTCTCTCTCTCTCTATCCAGTGTGCCTTTGGGCATTGTATGTCAAGGATCTCGCTAGGGCGTCCGCCTTTCGCTTTTCCGCCCCACCTTGCTAGCGCCCGTGGCTCAGGCTCCAGTCATTTTGCTCTCTCCGAGGCAGGGTGTCGACTCCATTGCGCCGCTCTATGGACTGCCTATTCCGATGAAGGGAACTGCAGTCACTCGAAGTCATGGCCTCTTTGGAGTGTTTTCCGTTGTGGTTCTGGAGGCGACATTTCTTGGCTACTCTCTCCCCCCCAAAAAAATACCCGGCCTCTTCTTTTCTTTGTCTTGAGAGTGGGGGTGAAATCCCCAAAAACACGGCCGTTTTTTTTTTTTTTGTCTTGAGAATTGGGGGGGGGCGAGAAAGACCCGCCTCGCAGCTGAGGCAGTGGTGGACTTTCCCTCCGGCGCCGGAGTGGGGGTCCTCAGCTCCTACACGCCGGTGAAGAACAGCGAGCTCACGGACATGATCTTGGAGCGGATGCGCGGACGCGAGGGAAGGAAGGTTCACAGTGGCAGTGGCCCTGAAAATGGATCGAGATTCGGGGTGAAAGGCCCCCCCAAAAAAACCAAGGTCCTATCTTTCTTGGTGGTCTCCGCACCAAAATGGCCATGGGCGGCGACTTTTGTTTTCTTCTTCATGTGGCGAAAGTGGTGTCTTTCTTGGTGGTTTCCCGACCTTTTGATCAACCCCCGCTTGAAGGATGCCCGGCTTTGTCACGAAAGCAGAGGGAAAGCGGCAAGTGGCATCTCCCCATGGCGGTGGTTCCAAGACCATGCCTGGCATGACTTGCTGTCCAATGTGCTAGGAACGGTTAACAGCAAACCATCATACGGAACACGTGGCTCCAAGCGTCATCCCCACCAATTCAAACTTGCTCTTTTTTCTGGATTCCGTCGAGGGGTGCAAAACAGTCTCAACTTGTATCTCCTATCCATGCGTGCCACAGGACGAGGCTGTTTGGGGCTGCTTTCTTATAGCGTTTTCAGGGTTTAGGTTACGTCTTATTAGGGTTTAGGTTTGGTTTCTTCAGGTGCAGGGCTTTGAGGTTTGGCGTTTTTAGGGTTTGGATTTCGGCTTTTTCGGTTTTAGGTTCAAGTTTGGGGTTTGGAAGGGCTTGGGCTTCGGCCTTTTAGGTTTTAGCTGGGGGGGGGGTTTTCAGTATTTCGGCCTCGGGTTTTTGTGGAGTAGTTTGGAATCAACGTGTCTAAGTTGAGGGTGCAACACCGAACGCAAGCACAACTCCCGTAGAGGTTTCACTTTCCCTTCCATCCGGGGGCAGATCACATTGGGTCGAAAGAGCCCAAAAGATCTCCACGAGGTTTACTCGGACGAAGGTCCATCCCCTCCCTGCCCGAGATGGGCAAAAAACCCGGATGGGCATGGGCAAAAATCGCCCAAAAACGGATCCCAAGGTTTACTCCTACGGTCCATTTGGTCCAGGCATGGGATCATGTCCGTTTGGTCTCCCTCTCCGTCTCTCTTTGCCCGAGGAATGGGATCATCTTGGGCACCAGCAACGTGCCCGAGTTCGCCGCCTCCGTGAACACCGCCAACAAGGCCAGCGGCCAGTGCCGCAACCCCTACAACCACAGCCTCTGCCCCGGCGGCAGCTCCGGAGGACCGGGGCGTGTGTCATGCGGATCTTATTGGGATGCGGCTGTGGTGGTCAAAACAGTGTTGGGATCCCATCTTGGTTGGTGAATTCACCACCCAGCTTAGGCTTTATTTTAGTGGGGATTGGGATGTTCACTGGGGGTGCGGGATTTGGACCCACGGCTATATCCCCAGAAAGATGTTTGCAGAACCCTTCCATGAACCTCTTCTAAGGCTCGAAGAATCTTTCCGACGGGGGCCTTTGTTTCCCTTTGAGTTGGTTGCATTGGCAGTGTGAAACAAAGGGCAGTGAGAGGGAGAATTCAGGCGTCAAGCAGGTGTTTGCAGATATGGCTCAGATAGGCATAGGAGGGGTCTTGGGAGCTTGCTCGACCCCAGTCCCTGCTTCTTTGTTAGCCCTTGCCGTGTGTCTTAGTTAAGTGAACCTTTTGCCGTTGTTCCATGCAAAACTTTGAGAGTGCTTCCTCTGCATCTTGTAATCGGGGAGGGCCGAGGGGTCGATTCATTTTTAAAATCTCGGCACATCAGATCTGGGAAGCCTGGAAGGAGCTGGGTCCGCGGTGGCCATGTTCATGTCCCCTGTGGCTGTGAGCGAGGACACTGGCGGCTCCACACGGGTACCCGCATTGTTCAACGGCCTCTTCGGCTTCGACCCTGCGAGGAACCACTATCCCAACCAAGGCGAGGAGTCAACACCGTCCATGTTTTGCAACTGACAGCGGGCCTCTGTCAATTGAAACGCCGGGGGGAATGTGTCCTGTTGGGGTTGCGCTCTTGAATTCTTCGTATGCTTTGCGCTGGTGTAGGCCCCTAGAAGCATCCAGCTCTCGCAGGAACTGTGTTCTAGTTTTCCTAGTCTTCCAAAGCTCTTCACTGTTTGGATGCCAATTTCCTCCTTTGTAAGGGTTATCAACCACAGATCTTCTGGGCTTGAACCTACCACTTCGGGCTAACTTGTGGTGACATCTTGGGGCATGTTTGATTTCGCACCTGTTTCAAGACGGGAGCCCCCAACCAACGTGTTTGTATCCATTTCTCGTAAGCAGAGGTCTAAGAGGTCTGAACGCGGGTCCACCCCTGCAAGACGCGTCTTCAGGAAACTGCGGGATGTCGGTGACCCGGGACCAGATCGGCGTGGTTTGCCGCAGCTTCCAG